TTAACGGTTTGATACAAAAAGTTACATAAACTAGTTTTTTCAATTCGCTAGCGATTTGGACTCTAACCGCTATCGGTAGTCTCAAACCATTAAATAAAAATTTTACTAAACACTTTATTTATAACAGTTTCAAAATATGTAAATTTATCAAACATCTATATTTAACGGTTTAGGTAAAACCACTAACTGTTACCCCAAAATCGCTATACCAAAATGGGCCAAAATTTTAAAGATTTAAATAATACCTTTTAAATTTAAAACTTAAAAATTATAATCCTCTAAACTCGAGAGTCGAGAGTTTAGCATCAAGCGCCTTTTCTCATCCGCTTAAAGGAGCAGGGAATCAAACGGACCTAACATTGCCACGTCTGCTCGGCCTTCTGTCGGCATGGCTGTGCTAAGGCCGAAACAGCATTATTATCCCCAAAAGGAGAAAAGATTATTCTTGGTCTCTCGATCCCTCTCCTCTCCCCGGGAACCTTACTTCACTTACCCTCCGATTCTCACTTCCTATGGAGATTCATCCTCATCCTCTCATTTTGATGGTGGGTTTCTTCCAAGAACCCTATGATGAGCAAGATAGACTGAAGGATTGATTGTAATACTTTCTTTAGGTAAAATTCCACTTTCTCTCTTACTGTGCTCAAACCTTAGATACATACAGTACATATCTTCATGTTTATGCATCTGTAAATTTTTAGTATGGTTTTGATATTTTGAACAAGTTATGCATACAAGGGTGGAAAATCATGGATTAATATGTATGGATATATGCGAGTGGAAAAAGGGTTTTGAATGACTATTGCTTGGTTGCTTTGTATTAATTCTGTGTGATTAAAGTATGTAAGAAATGGTTCAAAAGTTGGAAAATGGTGAAAAGGACTACTTTTGAAGGTCTGGTGAAAGTCGAAAATTTAAGATATTATCATGGGTTATAACTTATGTATAAAATTGTAAATATTGCTTAAATATGTCGGGCACTTCAGACGCCTGATTGTGAATTTTGCTGGTGACAAATTAAGATGAATACACACATCCACCATGTTTATCTTATTGTACCTTTTGTTTTCAAGTTTGATTATTATATTTGAAAATTTATGGGGAATTTATGAACCTCAAGTGCCTTGAGGGTATGGTATTATGAATGCATTATGCTTGAATTTAGCTACTTGATATATTAGTCAATCTCAAGTTATGCTTGATTATGCTACTGGAAAGATTATAGATTGACCATATTCTTGAGAATGCATGACGGAAGTTTGATTAATGGAGATATATTTGTAATTGTTTAAACATTCTTGTTATAGGTAGAAAGTCCATTTTGCAGACGAGATTCTATTGGATTTTGTTGGATTAGATAATTAGGTTAGAAGGATTTGGGGTTCCTAGAATATTGAGATGAGTAAACTTGATTCATCACGAGTGGTTGAATCATAGTTTGTTATCTTCTGAGACCTCAAAAGGACTGATAAACAGTGCGATGTGTGAAATTTTTATATCACTAGAATTTTTGTTTTAAAGGTGAGATTCACCAAAGCTTGCCCCATCCTTGGTTAGTTACTTATGGACTTATAATTATGTTGTTATGTTTAGAGACTTCACTATATAAGTTCATGTAATATGTAAATATGTAATCATGTCATGGTAGTAATAATATACTTTTATGCATGTATGTAAAATTAATGAGTTTTGTATATTCACAACATATAAATAGTTTTTCTTTTTTGGTCAGCAACCTATGAATAGGTTAAAAATTTGTTGTCATTGGTAGGACATGTTAGTTGTTACATGTGAACCATGCTTATGTCATTTTTCTTTGCTCTTGACGTTGCTTTTCTATTTCTAATATATTTGTGTGTTTTGATATGCATTGATCACCAATTGTATATGGTACGAGAGCTTATTTTCTAATATATAGCACCTTCTTGGGTAACAACTCCTCTTCAGTAGAAATAGAT